AGCAAGGGTACTCGTGCAAGTTTGGTGGTGTGGCCTCATGGGAGCTTATTTAGGACTCAGGGACATGCCCTACCGGCTCACATTGTTGATGTTGAAAACAACGCGGATTTGATAAGGATCTAAAGACACAAGAGCGATGAAAGAGGTAGAGAAAAGGCGTGTGGATACCCTGGATTTGATTTGATTTGGACTTGGCGAATGGCATGAGCTTAATAATCCTTTTGGAATCCTAAAATAACAACGTTGGCTTCGTTTGCAACCGGATCGCCGTGCATTGCATATGTTTATATTAGGGCTACTACATTTGCGACATGTGAAGACGTGCCATCTTACGTCAGCAGCCGTTGGGGTGGCTTCCCTGTGGCTGAATTAGCGGCTTAGCCCGATCGGCGAAACAGTGAAGTCGGGTAGGAAAGTAGGAACAACGGCAGTGCATGCGCGCGACTTGTACCCTCCACCTCCACCCTTCCAATCCGGGGGTCGCCCTCTTGTCAATACGCCCTAGAAGCCCCTTCGAGGTTCTCGACGCTCACATTCCGCCCGATAGACTCACGTCGCTGGAACGCATCAGTGCTCGATCGCTGCGCTTTGCGAAGTTCCGCTTCGTTTAGCAACCGCCCGAGGCAGAACTTTGGGACAGCCTCGTGCGTCCCGTTTGCAACCATGGCTACGGGCTTTGTCGGACTCTCGGTCGCAGTGACGCTTCGGAATCCTCCTGGGGCTGTCTTGCTAGGTGTCGTGAGTGGTGTTGACCAGCAGACGGCCACCTTGACTCTTCATGATGGTATGTTTACAAACCGCTTGTAGTCGCGGCAGAGATGAAGAATACGTACTCACCTTTGAAAGTGTTCTTTCCAAGCTCCGGTCATCGTCTTCCTTCATACACCGTCGAAGGGCACATGATTGCTGATATCAAGGTCAATGCCTCTGCGCCCGCTCCTCCGCAACCTCCCCAGCCACCATCTGAACCCCCGGCATACGCGCAATACCCCCAGAGCCGTGTCCAAGATGTCCGAGCAAATGCTGCGCAGCAAATGCCGCACCTTGTCAGCCAGCCGTCGTCCATACCGCACGATGACCAGTCCATGAATGCACGCAACGGCTCACGTAAATCGATTTCCCACTCGGTCCAGGCTGCACCATTCGTCGATCCTGCGATCCTGAGTATGGGAAAGCGCACCAATACTACAATCTCTTCGAGTCAGCTTGCTGCAGCACCACCCCAGGAAGCTCCCGCCACACCAATCACGGCTGTGGTTGGCGCGAGCGCTGCGCCTCTGCCCAAAACTACATCTTCGTCTATTAGTCAGGTGAAGCATCACAATGTTCGGAAGCCAAGCGCAGCGACACTGGAGGGGCCTTTCTCGTCTTTGGACATTGCAGATGCGGAAGAAGCAGATAATGAGACGAGGATTGCTAGAATCGCGCCACGTAGAGCAAGCATCAGCAAGACCAGAACAGGCAAGCCTATGGATGATGTGAGCCCTCAGAAGAACGATGACGGTGGCAAGAAGACTCGGAGGGGAGGCAAGTCCCGTAAGAAGGAAGTTGCGGCCCAAGAGAGAAAGAACGGGGTTGACTTCCAATCTGCTGGTGGCATCAAGAAAGGGTACGTGCGCTTCTTTGATGCGGAGGTGGCAGCCCGATTATCGGACCTACATAAGCTGACTAGCAATAGCAAAGGCAATGGTTGGAGGAATACGCCCATGCTACAGGCTGCCGAGGAACCACAGACCAGGACACCTGGGGTTATTGGTGGTAGGGTCGGCATTGCAGCAGCGAACGCCTCGAATCGTAAGACGAAACGACAGCAAGCTCTTGATGCTACCAATGGCTGGGCTACCGAAGACGCGACCGACATCCAAGACCTGCCCGAATTCGACTTCCAGAGCAATCTCTCCAAGTTCGACAAGCGCACGGTATTCAATCAGATTAGGAATGAAGATACAACAGCGGACGAGGATCGCCTAGTCAGTTTCAACCGTCTAGCAAGGCCCGGAACACATGGTGGAAAGAACTTGCATCCTTCAGAGAATGTGCTGGATCGCAAGCTGAAAAGCACGACCAATACAAGCTCTGAAGAGGAATCCGACTTTGGCAGCGGGCGAAACTCCAGGCGAGCAATGTCAAGAGCTTCTATCAAACGAGCACCTACACGACAAGGCAGCAGTGTTCAAGCTGACATGGATATAATGGGCTCAGGGGTACTTCCGCGAAGTAACCGTTCATTCATCAATCGGCCCTATGCATCTTCACACGCCACTGGTAGTCCCAGGCCTGGCCGCACTGCTACGCCTCCAGACTCACCCGCTGAGTCTAATGCAGCAAAAGGTTGTCTGCGTCTGGTCCCGAACAATCGCAAATGCTTTGCTATCACACCGGGAGGCATGTTGGCGGTTGAAGAGACTGCTGAAGTAGAGTTTGGTCTGACTGAAGAGCTTATTGCTGAGAATTCGGGAAGAGGTATTGCTGAAGTCGCCCTCACAGCGATTAATCCTGGTGGTAGAAGACTGGCGCGCGACAACCCAAATGCCAATCCTGTCATAGTCGTTCTAGCAGGCAATCACCGTGGTGGAGCACGAGCCATAGCAGCAGCACGGCAGCTCGCTCAGCGTGGACCAAAGGTCATGGTTGCACTTCTTGGTTTCGAGCGCAACGCCGATTGGGACAAGGACATAAGGCGGCAAGTTGATATGTTTCGAAAATTCGGTGGTTCCGTTCGTGCATGGAAAGATACTGAAGAAGCTCTCAAGCGCCTACAAGCACCACCTGAACTAATCATCGACGCTTTACTCGGTCGCCACAAGGAATTCGAGGCTCTGGGCGACGAAGATCAGCGCGTTGTCCTTAGTATCGTAGGCTGGGCGAACAAGTCCCGTGCCGCCTGTCTAGCCGTGGAAACTCCATCAGGTGTGGGTGGATCCACTGGTGAAGTGTCGATCCTTGAAGGCGAGCCTCTCGAAGTCCGTGCAAAGTATATCGTTTGTCTTGGTGCACCACGAACGGGGCTGCTGAAAGCGCTCCAGCACGGCGCTGGACGCGACCCGAAATGGCTCATCTGGATCGTGGATATTGGTGTAAACAAACCCTGGCGTAATGCTGGTATCAGTGGTGGCAAGGGGATCAAGTTTGGTGAGCACTGGGTTGTCCAGGCGAGGTTCGAAGAAGGGGCGGTGGGGGAAGGTGTTGCGAGGGTTTAGAAGCGAGCAAAGTGGAAATGACATTGTCCGCCTTAAGCAGTCGCCCTTGGGTCACCGGGCTATGCATTGCGCGGGCGCTTTTTCTGTCTTTTGGCCAGCTCGGGTGGCGTTAGTTCGCTTCTTGTTACTTGCTTGGTTTGTCATTAGAGGGTCAAGGAAAGAGGTATCAAAAAACATTTGGCCTGTATTGGGGGTTGTATAACAACTTGCTGACAAAGGGCCACGTAGATGTGCCTCAAATAGGATGAAATGATTCAAAACATGAAAATTGAGCCAGATTGAGTTGTTTTTCATGACTGGTGTTCGAAATTCGACACGACAGAGTGAACTCATATCGTGTTTTGGTGCTATACATTACTTGGTTTTCCAATCTCTTAGAAATCATCAACACGTGCTGACTCTCTATGCGAGAGAGCTTTCCAACTCACCACTGCTCACTGTCTATCCATACGCAACACGCCCTTCTTGCCCCCCTTCGCGGATCCTCCAACCATCAGTATTGACTTCGTAGCTCTTATACTCCGGGCCTCTTTGTTGATGTAGCGGCTACGGAAAGATCTTTGAATGAGTGCTCATCACCTGACGAGTTTAACCTCCTTAGCTTTGGACCTAGTTTGGGTAAAAACGACACTGCTTGCTGCTTGCTGGCAGACTTCCAGTGGTCATCCATATGTAGGGCTTGAGTTGCGCTATCCCCGTCCATCTCGGAAAGACAGTGTCTTGAATATGTCTCCACCCCTGGTAAGCAAACGTGCAAGCACTTGCGCGCATTCCAGGGTGAAGAGAAGAAGAAAAAGGCCAAATAGAAATTACAAATGCGATCCAACATTTTTCCACGCTCGGCTTTCTTCGAGTCCAGTAACAAAGCTACAAACTCTCTGCACCAAGTCTTCAACGACATGTTCGGGATCATCTTCGAGATTATGATGAGCACCAGGGATAACGCCGCCATCCACGTCGTCGACAATGCGGCCTCTTCCACGCATTATCTTCGTCCATCGCTCTAGTAATGCCTCCCTATCGACCGAAGCAGGAATATATGGGTCCTCGGAGCCGAGTAAGAAGCATACTGGTGTGGTCCTGGGAATTCTGCCAAAAGTCTTGGTAAATTGCTCGTCTGTAAGGTCGCTGGAGAAGTAATCGTCGTCACCACCCTTTGCAAGCAGCGAATACGCGCGGTATGCGCTGAGGGGTCCTCCCATCTCCTTCAATACGACATTGTCCTCTGTTGACAAAATCTCCTTTCCCTTGCCTGCATCGATCAATTCTTTAGTTTTCTTAATAGCTTGCTCCAGCGCCTCCTTTTTCTCTCCTTCCTTTGCGAAATCCTCCCATGCCTCACGGTCGCTGACTCCGCCCTGGAGAATAACACCATCAAGTGATTCGCGCTTCTCTTTTCCCCTGCCAACAAGATACTCCATTATGTCTTGGCATCCCGTCGAATGACCCATGACGACAATCTTCTTGCCTGGCCGCAGCTGCTTGAAATACGAGACACATTCTGCCAGCTCGCGGGCATCGCGCGTGAGAGAGCTAGTGCCCCAGCCGCGGTAGGATGAGCCGAGCAGAACCTCTGCTATGACCCAATTATCCGGAAGCGATTTTGCGATTTCAGACGGATAAGGAACGGTAAGAAGGCCATCGCCCAGACCGCCTACCCAGAGAATAGTATTAGGTGCATCAGCAAAAGGATTAAGGTATGAGTGCTCGAATGCGACTCGGCGTTTGGAGTACTTGTGCGCGGTACCGGGATAAGCCATTGCGACAGGAGTAGTAGTAGTAATAGTAGTAGTGGGAGTTATCGACGACGACAACTGCGGTGACGACGACGACGGCGATGACATGATGGGGGGCGGCGTACCAGCACTCCTATATAACCAAGAAACAAGGATTTCACTCAAGTCAGGGAACAAGACAACAATAGCAGCAATTGAAAACTCGAACTTCTCGCCCAGCAAGTGGCGTTACGGTAAACCAGGACAAGAGACGAGTTTGTACCGGGTGGCTTGTTTTGTCCCCCTTCCCCAATTCCGACTTAAAGCGCAAAAAATTCGCCGCGTCCGCGTGACCAACCGAGGGCATATGGAAGCAGAAAAGGATCCGCGATTTGTTGGATTCTCCTCAATTTGAATCGGGAAAGTGGGGAAATCGATTCCGCAAGGGTCCTTAGGAAAAAAGGGCAAAAAGCCCCTACTTACTATCACGATTCGGGGGGCGGGGTAACCTAAGCCGGTTTTCCTAACGAAGAAGAGGGTAATGTAGAGCTGAAAATTAATTTACTTTAGTTATATAGTAGTAGTGGCTACTGACTTAGAAGCAAAACCAAGCTTGGCTATTCACGACACGCGACCGAACAAAAAGGCGTCCTTTTTTTTCCTCCTTCTCTCACACACTCACGCGCAATACTTACGAAGCGCCTGCCCGCCCGCCTTCCTCGGGAACCCATGACTTACTCTACTACTTTTTTTCACCGGATGTCAGGACTCTCATAGTTACATCTCTACTTCCCTTAACCCTAACCGAAGCCCGCCCGCCCCAGATTTGCTTCCAAAATGGAAAGGAAGAGACAATAAGCGCCCAAACCATCCTACGCTATGCCTTATTCCTACAAAAAAACAGGTCACAAGATCATTGTTCGCTTTCCGCAACGAGACATTTGTTTCTTTCTAACAGCCCAATCCCCTCAGAAAAACTCCCCCTTTTTTAGTTCTACCAACTAGCCTCCTTCTAGAAACAAAGGTGCGGCTGATACGCGAAAAAGGTCTAGAAGTGCGCTGTGTGTATGCCGCTTGTTTTTGTTTGCACACACCTTTGCAACTTTGGGGGGATGGGGAGGTTGTTTACTTACTAGTTAGCTAGCTATCACCCGAAAGTTTATTTCTTCTTGGGGAAATTAACGATCTCGATGGCCCGCGCCTTGCCAGCCTCGCCGTGGAGGCCTTTTTGGGAGGGGGTGGGAAACGCAGTGCTAATCGGGGCGCGCGTGTTTGTGATGAAAGATGATTTCGTGGGGTGATGTGCAAGTAGTACCGAGGTTGATCAACTGGGGGAATGGGGAACAAGGGTCCATGGTCTTTTTTCTTTTTTTGCAATCGCTACCAACGGGTGTTCTCGGGATTTGGTGAGTGTGGGGGTTATATGGTTTTTCTTCGCTGTTTCGTATTCCTGTTGCTATATTTATTGTTCAATACTTGTGACTTTTTGATTCTGCATGCCGTGATATTGGTATCTGGAAGGAAAGGACTACCTTGTCATTCTCCTCCCACCACCATCTAGCTGGCTCGAATACTTCTGGGCAGGGTCCGTTCAGATCAAGCCCTGAGTATGACATGCCTGCTGAGCATTCCTTGGAAATTTATGATTTAGAAACTACGTTTTCATGGCTCAAAAACGCCTCCCAAAAACAGGCCATTTGCAGACATGTCAGGGACACGGGTTCACAGAAATAAATGCAAACTAGTCGATACGAAGCAGCCCCGATTTGGCTTGTCTACACACTAGCAAAGGCGCCTCTGTACTCAGAAATCGAAAGGCAGCCTTCAATGGCGCTACGTAGTTCCGCTAGTCCAGTCCCTTGCATTCAGCTGCCTGCACTAGAGTCAATACCCGAGACATTGAACCATCGAACCATCCAGCCCACAGAAAAGTCCCACACCCCCCTTGACGCCACACCTACACAACTGACATCGGATTGCACGTTTTCTCAGGCGCACAATGACTCACGAGGGTCTGGTGGAGATGAACCACACGACCTTTAGTTGCAGCTGGTACCAGATAGCCCCGGTATCAAGAAGTGCCGGCTTTCCTCCTCGGTAGATGCGCCCTCCAGATTGGGTCGCCTTCTCGTCTGACCTGGCCTAACCTTCGTTCAACTTCCACCACAACCTCGTGAAACGGGACCCTTCTCTTGATACTGAACGTTGTTTGGCAAGTGCTACAATCAATGCTAATGCGCGTTGAAAAGCGACCATCCATCATCATCATCTCCTGGCAGTCCCCAACCATACCCTCGATTACTTCTGTATCACAAGCATTCATGTGCGGACAGATTTTGAGATTTAGGAGAGCCAGCGCATCTTTCGTCTGATGAACCGAGACAGGCACAGTCCAGGGTACCGTCAGAAGCAGAAACCTTGATCGAAGAGTGACTGTATGCGTTTTGGGAGCAAGAGATAGTGTGGGAGGATGTAAACATCGGCCTGGACGGCGTCTTTCAGGCGGAAGCTCGTAGCACTCGATGCAATGGAAAAAGTCGCCAAACTTGTTCTTACGTCCTTTTCTCGCGTTCTTTCGCAACAGACTGGCCATTTCCAAGAAGGTAAACTCGTTGTGCTGACACACGAAGAAGGGACCGTCGGTTGCTCGGAAGCATCTGCGCAAGTGTCGTGGTTGTGCTATCGTACCCTCTGGAAACCTAAAAGGCGCATGCGGCCGGTTACATTCTACACAGTACAGTATACCAGCTCTGCGTTCAACCCAGGCATAGGGATGGCAGCCGTGACCGTAAAAACGGTCTCTTTTTATTCTGCTCCTGATATCTTTGATGTGCGGTTGCTTGACGGCCTGTGTATTGCAGATGGCGAGAAGGGCATCCGCATATTTATAGCTCGTTAGTACGAAGCAAATACGGTCCGCATAATCTAGGAACGTGCCGATGTGTTGGGCAATCTCGTATGGCAGAGTGTAGAGCAAACTGTTGTGTGTATTTTGAGTGTAGCTCTGCGTGGCGTGTCGAAAGGCAACAGATGACCGGGTTAGTTTTTTGACGAGGCTGTTGGGCATATTGCTGGCTGGGAGGTTGTAAATATGCCACCGTGTTTCTTTGTGCAATCAGCACAGATATGAATCAATTGAAGTTTTGCTTGCAAATGTGCATGGTTCGCTAAGAGTGTTGTTTCCATGGCTGTGAGGTTATGAAGCAACCAGTCAGTGGGAGCAAATCGTCAAGGGCATGTCCTGGTTGTTGGATTCGTGGATCATGCTCAATGATTGATGACTGTGATGATTGAACTATTACTGCTTGTACTTCTTAGGGTGCTAGTACCCATTACGTATAGCAGGGCTGTGATGAATGACCGAGATGGCAATAAATCCATTGTGATTGCTCTGTTAGTGTCAAATGTATGCGCTTCCGATTACCCTGATTCAAAACAAGGAAACACATCCGCATTCGGAGTGCCTATTGCGCGAAGGAGCAGATGGAGCAATTCAACAAGTTAATAAGAAAAAGAATCTAGAGCTGGGAATCGGAAATTCCGAAACAAGGAAGCCGTTGTCTCAGCCGACAGGTCGGGGCTCGGGGCAAAGCCCGACAACCCCACCATAACCCTAGTTACCCCTCACATTCTTGTTTGCGCGACCCCACTTGGGACTCTTGGGGCCGTCCAAGAGGGACCTGGCAGATCGCCCGGCACACGTCAAATGGCAAGACGAACAAGCGATCCGGACGGACGCTTCGATGAGACGTTGTCGGATCGGATACCAGAAGTTAGGAATTCATTAATAAAACTTGGTTTCCTCTTTTCTCTATATACCGTATGGTCTTCCCTGCTCTTCTCCGCGCATTGATTTGAACCATTCATACATTAAGATAAATAAACATGTCGTGTAAGTATTCAAACATTGAATTCAAACAAGAGCACAGTGCAATTGCGCGGCAACAACTAACAGTACTCAGCAAAACATTTTATTCACGATCCTACGCACCTCGTCAATACGGCGCTTCTGAGCATCCCAAAGACGAATCCGTCTGTGCAGTGCGATATTGAGAACAAGATCATATATCGCAAGAATGGCGCGTCACAAGTTTCCATTGTCTCTGGTGGTGGTAGTGGTCATGAGCCTTCATTCGCTTCTTTCGTTGGTGCAGGTCTTCTTTCTGGCGCGGTAGCAGGCACCATATTCGCATCTCCAAGCGCAGAGCAGATACGAAGGTGTATCTTGCATCGCATTCAGAAAGACAAGGGTGTCCTCGTGATTGTAATGAACTACACCGGTGACGTGCTGAATTTTGGTATGGCCGTAGAGAAGGCACGTGCTGCTGGCATCGAGGCCGACATGGTGGTTGTGGGTGACGACGCTGGTGTAGGGAGGGCCAAGGGTGGAAAAGTAGGGCGAAGAGGCATCGCCGGGACTGTACTTGTCCAGAAAGTTGCTGGCGCGCTTGCAGCAAAAGGGTATGGAGCGATACCAACTAGAGTGATGGTGAAGAGGCAGTTTCACTAACAAGATACAGAGCGAGTCTCAAGGATGTAACGCGAGTCGCGCAACTCGTCGCCGACAATACAGTCTCAATTGGATCCTCACTAGCACATGTCCACGTACCAGGTCGCCGAGAGGCTGAAGAGGATGAGCTGAAAGACGGCCAAGTCGAGATCGGGATGGGCATTCATAATGAAGCTGGCTCAGAGCGCAAATCCACCGATCTTCCCGGTCTCGTGAAAACCATGCTTTCGCATTGTCTCAATGTTGCAGACAAAGATCGTAGCTTCTCTTCCATAAACGCAGAGGACGAGGTTGTGCTGTTGATCAATAACCTAGGAGGAGTCAGTCCGCTCGAGCTGAGCGGTATCACGAACGAGGTTGTCGAGCAACTGGCGAATGACTTCAAAATCAAGCCTGTGCGCATACTCGCCGGTACTTTCATGACGAGTTTGAATGGACTCGGCTTTAGCATCAGCATGCTCAAAGTAGCCGATACACAATCACTAGGTGCTTCCATGCTTGAGCTACTCGATGCACCTGCTGAGGCGAGTGGTTGGGCTGCAGCAATCAGTAGTAGCACATGGGCAAGACGCGACGAGGCAAAGAAAAACGAAGAAAAGGTAGACGAAGAAGAAGTCTTGCCAAGTGATTTGAGAGGTGAGTAATGCACGGCACAGCATAGGTCATGCACTGACGTCGAATAGTAAACTACGCCCAAGCGAAGTCAGTATTGACAACTGCACTGAACAGACTGATAGCCGCCGAGCCTGATGTCACCAAATATGACACGATCGTGGGAGATGGCGATTGTGGAATCGGACTGAAACGTGGCGCAGAAGGTAGGCTCTTCATCACATGTGCACTGTTGCCTGGTGCTGACATCCTACAGCAATTCTGAAGATGCTCGAAACGGCAAAAGAAACAGATGATCTGCTGATCCTCGTAAACAACATCATTCAAGTGGCTGAATTAGCAATGGACGGGACGTCAGGTGCAATTTACGCCATCTTCTTGAATGCACTAGCCCATGGATTACGAAAGAATTCGCCTTCTTCCCCCCAACCCGTCACTCCTGCAGTTTGGGCCAAGGCTCTCGACTCATCCCTCAAAGCACTTGGCAAATATACGCCTGCAAAGCCCGGTGATCGAACGCTAATGGATGCTTTGTATCCATTCATTGAGACGCTATCCAAGACAGAAGATGTCGACAAAGCAGCTGCGGCAGCGCAGGGAGGAGCGCAGGGAACGAAAGGAATGAAAGCGAGCTTGGGACGGACGGTGTACGTTGGAGGCGAAGGGTTCCAAGAAGTTCCTGACCCTGGTGCGCACGGTCTCGCAGAACTTCTGCTGGGCCTGAGTGACGGATTGAAGAAGTAAAGGCTGATGGGTATCGTTCTTTGATTCGTTCGGTGGTCATCGCCGACTTTGCGGCGTCGATTATATAACTTTTAATGCATTCGAACTCTAAATTGCGTGCGTCCATCTTGCACTCCCGTCTCAACACCAGGTCGCATCCAGATTCTTATGAGAGCAAGACGAGGATGACGGAATCGCCTCGGAGAAACCTATGCAGAGTCAGCACATTGCGCAAAACGTACACATCTATCAGACGTACAGCTTGGAAATGAAGCGATCCTTGTTAACCTTCCTTCCATAGCTACCGTTGGCTAACCGTGGCGTCTCGGTCCACATCTCCTTGGCATTCTCGAGGACCATGTTGCAGTGGCGGTCAAAAGCCTTCACGCGTGCGAGGATCTTGCGGTTGTTTCGGCACGAAATCAGCACTTGTGTGCGCGAGCGGACGGCGGTCTGAAGAATAGAAAGAGGACCGGTGGTGAGCTCATGCTCTTCAACTTGCGCGACCTCGTACTCCCTGAGTAGAAACATTAGCCTCTTCGCACCATTGAATAGGACAGGAGGATACATACGTCAACTCGGAGCGTGGCTTGGACAGAAGCTCCCTGTGAGGTATCAGTACTGAGCTTGCTATTGGAGCTTGCGTGCTTTTACTCACTGAATCTTCGCGTCGACCATTTTGACAGGCGGTATGGGGTAGTAAGCGCGGATCTAGAAGAAAAAGAACCTCTATTTCTAGTTGCTGTTAACAACCTGAGTCCTCAGCTTCTGCCTTCGAATTTTGATTTGCAGCTCGAACAGGTACTGCGCAAGGATTGGGTCGAGCAAAAGAAGTGCACAGACCAGTGGCGGAAAGACTGACCTAGTTTAGAGAGGTAGGACACCACGGCAACGAGCTTGGATGAGGTGGAGCGGTCGGCGATAATGGTGAGGCAGGGCGATGAAGTGATCGAGCTTGGCTAAGATGAAGCGCGGGTTGCGGTTTTTCCGGCGCCGGGCCAATCAGTACGCGTCAGATAGTGGGGCCATAGAGCCAGATCCATGGTGCGTCACGCGTCTTTGCCCTCTCCCGGCGTTAGCGCGGCGCGGGTAGCTGGAAACCTCTAAGCTCGTGCCTCCATCTTCACTTCGATTGCACACGACATCATTGACGACACCCTTTTATTCCCCTTTCCTAGCCGATCTACGCGTGTTGGTGCCTGTTTCGCATCTCGCGTCTACCGGAATACATAACCGGCCCCTTCCCCCCCGCCAATTTTGCTTCCCACTCGATCCTAGTCTCGCTTCTTTGTTCTCCAAGAACGCGTCCGCTATGATCGCACGCCAGCCACCGATCGCGATACGACATTGATCATATCCCGTCCATCCCCCGGCGTCCCTCCTCTCTTTTTTTTACGGCACGGCCTGTCTATCCTTCGTCAAGCCTATAGTCAGCCATGTCGACTCCTTCGAGTATTACGCCAGAGACGGGTCCCTCGCAGCATGCCTTGACTCCTGCTGCTGGTGCCGAGGATGGCGTCATGGATGAGATCCCACGCCGACAAATGCGAGGTAAACAGATTCAGCTCATCATCACGCTCTGATCTAACATGGCTCTTCATCAGTCAAGGTCTTGTATACGTTTGACGATCAGAACAAATCAAACTGTCTCGCTCGTCTGCCAAATGTCCTCAACATTCCTGTCGTTTCGCTGGACGAGACTACCGAAGTGGGAGTCATCGAACTCAAGACATGCATTCAGGCTATTGTCACTGCAAGGTAGGCTACTCCCATTGGTCATGTAAGACACATTGCTCACCTTCACAGTCCTGAGCTTGTAGCCAAATTAGGACACGATTACACCGTGTACGCTTATGACTTTTCCGAGTACGAAACACCGCTTGTTGGACAGGGTATGCTATCGTGGCTTCTAGCTTCTGCATCATCAACACCCAATGCTCCTGCCAAGGACTCCCAAACCATGGTCACAGGTCGCGTGTGTAAAAATATTCTTGGCATTTTCTCAAATGGTATCAAAGAGACTTTAGAAGTCAAGTTGAAGCTGGTGCCTGTTCCGACGTGCATGCAGAAAGAATATGTGGAGAATATGGAGCGATATCATAGTCTCAGCCAGATGATGCCCGAAGGATTTGACTACAACGCCTGGTCCGACTTCCTGAAAGAGAATCCTATGCTTGGTCACCTGGCCCAACCAACTACGACCCACTCTGCTCAGCCTTCGCCACGTCATTCCGTTGGTGGTGTTGAGCCTTTCCACCAGATGCTTACCCGCCAAAGCCCCTCGCAGGAACCCGTCCGTAACGAATCATTCTACGACCAATCGAATACGCCCTTCATGTCCCAACCAACCAGGCCTTCTAGCCCCGCCATGAGCACCATTTCCTTCCATCACTATCAATATAATCCACCTTCACGTCCAACATCACGGGCTTCTGTGCGTAGCGAAGCCCCTCCACCAACCCAACAATACCAATTTAGTGATCCGTATATTGTGGAGCCGCAAGACGACGGTCCCCCGAAGAAGAGGGCTCGAATCACACAGACCACGAGACCAAGGAATACGCCCCTGACTGCTCATAACGACTCACTCCGAGTGACCGCTAGTACAGCAGCATCGGTACGCCTCCTTAAACCAACCTTCAACGCTGCTGGGGCTGCCGCAGACATGGTCCCGCGCGCACCAACTCCTCGTCCAGGTGAAAAGCTAGGACAACGAGGTGGTCGTCGTCCCCCCGCACCAAGTGCTCTGAGACACGCATCGATGGACGGAGGACGCCCATACATGTCCCCTTACGAACCTAGTACCTTTTCAGACAATGCTATGGAATCAGCAGACGAAAGAGAAGGAAGCCCAAGTGAGACACCGAATGAGATGCCCTCTTCACCACCAATCGCACCCCGGCGGACCATATCACCTGCTCCCTCCAGTCCGAACCTACCGACACTACCCCTCAACGATTCAGGTTTTGTTAGTGACATTCCCATGGGACGAGACACTGATGGCATGAACTGTGGGGATGGCTCATGGGCACGCCATGAAGCAGCGCAATATCGCCGAGGATCAGCCGCTCAACCAATCACTGAAAGTATCGAAATGGATATGTGCAGTACTCAGCCGTTCGACTTTGACAACATGGACCAGGATCTTCTCAATTGTGTATATTTCCAGGGACAAAATCCGAAAAGTGAAAGTGATCTACTATCAAGGATGGCGATAAATGAGCACGACAACAATTCGGTCAGCGGACGGCCTCATACCGGGGACGCATTCCAATCTGCATCTGTAGAAAAGGCTCAGACTCGGGAAAAGTCGCATGCGACATTTTCTACTGCTGGGTCACCCGATGGCATTGCTTCACAAATCTCACCCGCCCCTGAAAGCGAAGCGCAAGTATACAGCCGTTCCGCCACGCCAAATTTACCAGCAAAACAACCTAAACAAACCAAGGCACGAGGACTTCCTAGATCGCAAACCTGGTCTGGAACAGGTGAACCCATGTCGGACGCACCAACTCCCTCAGAGTGTGGCTATACTCGAAGCGGCTCTGGTGCTAAGAGGAAGCGATATATCAAAGACCGATTGGACGCTGCTATCAGAAAGGGTGAAATGCCACCGCACTGTGTCAACTGTGGAGAAATCGACACTCCTACTTGGAGAAAAGCCTACACTCGAGTGGAGAATGGTTCGCCTAGTGGCATTGAATTGTCCACTGATTCGGCTAGTACAGACATCATTGCCTACGAGGTAATCGAACCAACTTCTGAGACAGATGGCGAGCCAAAGTACCGTATCTTCAAAAACAACTTGACGCGTCAAGATAAGGACATGATGGCGGCGAAATCTGGTGATGCTTTCCAAGAGCTTAATCTGTGTAACCCATGCGGACTTTGGCTTATCAAGAAGTTTTCAATGCGTCCGCAAAAAGTATGGGACAGGTCTGCACGACTAGCAAAGCGCAAGCGAGAACAGAAGATTGGAGCACGCTCCAGATCGACTGTTGGTGATGATCTCATGTCGGACGCCGCTTTTCCAGAGACGGAATCTACTATGCCAGCCGAGCAGGAGCTAGGCGGGAAATCAGTTGATGGAACATACGACGGAGAGATGGCACCACCCAAGGCCCCATTCGGCGCACGTGAAATGGATGCCAACAATGCCCAGGCTGCTTTCAGACGAGCTATGCAATCAAGTCCTGCGGGCGTCAGAGGAAGCAAGACTTTGCCCATCAATCTCGAACAAGATCTTACACCAAAGCCTACACGGCGATTGCTTTTCCCCTCGCCTCGGAAGCAAAGTCAACGCAAGACTCTGACTCAACAGGCGACTGGTCCTGTCGCTACTCCTATGCATGCACATGACGATGATGCGCCTAAAAAGCCTCGTTGCCAACGGTGTAAAGAACTCAAGAGAGCTTGCGACCGAGAACGGCCATGCGGTCGGTGCGAAAACGCTGGAATAGGGCATGATGGATGTATTCCTTGCGAGACGAAAAAGACCAACTGGTTCGAGCGACCTGTAGTACAACCAGTTGTCGTTGAGCAGGATAACCCCGATAAGGAGAACTGCCCACCTCCACCTACATTGGAGGTTGACGAGCTTGATCACCTTTTTGAAGACTCCCATTCCCCCAAGACAACGCCGAAGCAAGATCGGATAGCTGAGGATCTTTTGAAAACGCCCACTCCTGGTACTCGACAGCGCGCCGCCCTGACGCCGAGACGAGGTACCGAAAATGGCGAGGTTCCTACCACGCCCTCGCGGAGCACATTTACTCCTCGAGGCAACCGCACGGGGACTGCTGCTCCGGACACCCCATTCACACGCCAGCTCAATGCACTTCTATCAGACCATCCCATTTCATCGCCTTCTCAAAATTTTGACTTTTCCTCATTTCCTATCTTCACTCCTCCTGGTCATACTGGGGCACAGTTCAGCGAGCTCTTAGCCGACGACTTCTTGTCGAGCGACATGCCTATGAGTAGCTCACCCTCGAAAACTGGGTCCATGAGTATAGGTTTCGATCTTTATGAAGACCCCAATACATCTACCGCTGGAATGTGGAATGGAGAGAACATCTTTGACAATGAAGTCATGTTGTTAGGCATGGACGATAACTCCAAGCGCTCCGGTATGGACGCCAGCAATGGCCCCGACGCAGTCACGCTGCTGAAGATGAATGTGGGTGGCATGACTGTCGATTTTGCGGCCATGATAGAAGAAGTCGTTGGTACCGCCACTAAGGATACTGATGGGCATGAGAACGAAGGCAGGTTCTTGGAAGACAGTGGTAGGTCTGCTCACAAAAGCCCAGAAGCAGAGAGTGAGGGCGTCGGTGGCACGCCCGAAGAGCCCACTTCTGTCTGAGGCTTTTTATGCCTATTGTTATGGCTCCATGATTTTGTTTACATGCCTGTTTGCCTTTACTGTAGATTCTTGTTTTTGAGAGGCGTTTAGCGATCTGGCACGTGCATGCTGCGGCTTTTAGATGCCACGAGGAAACGAGGCACACGATTACTTTTTGTACACTAGTCTTTGTAGTAAGAGCAGCAGCTCGGCAGCCCGGCATCTGAGGCACGAGTTCTGGTAAATGGCGAGCGTATTGTACGCACCTTCGAAGGATACCCAATACATATGTTAGGCATTATATAATTCCTTCATTGCAGTGAAATTGTTTTGATATGTGACGCAAAGGAAATTTCATGCCGATCGATGGAAGATTTATGTGACATTGAAGAGGAATAGTTCGTCGTATATTGCACACTAAACCTGCTGTTAATTGTACCCTGTACATGTATCATGATGGCAAAGTGTTGGGATCATCATGCTGGAAATAGCTCAGGCGTGTCGTGGAAGGCTAAAGTGGTTCACTTTACTTTCATCGCCATTTTGCCTCCTGTATTCGGATGTACGTTACTTTAGTATTAGACGTCAAGGCCAAGATCAACTTTGCCCGGGCGTTACCCTTGAGCTGACCATAATATTTCATTTTGTTATAATTCACATGTACTATCATATGTACTATCTGTTGATTGGCGATTCATATCACTCATAACAAAAGAAAACTAGTCTTGCGCAGGAGATAATGGTAACAATCAAATTTATTTTGTTCGAGCGCTAGCATACAACTATTTCGCCGTCATAAACACATGCTCCAGAACCGTTTAATCATAAAATCGCGTCTAACCCCCCTCACACTCCATTGTCTGACATTACGCTTACTGAGATGATCCTCCAGAAATGGTAAGCACCTGTCCGTTAACCCAACCGCCATCCTCGGAAGCAAGGAAAGCCACAACCCTCGCAACATCCTCGGGGACCGCACACCTGCCCAGCGGGCAGTGGCTCGCCATGAGGTTCTCAATCTTCTCCGCTGGCCACTCAGGAGTGCCACCGGGGATGTAGTGCCATGCGTTTTGAGTGAACATGTCAGACTTGATGCCACCAGGCGCAACACCGTTGACAGTGACACCACGCTTTCCAAAGTCGGTAGCGAAAGCCTTGATGAATCCAATGACTGCCATCTTGGAAGCGTTGTACAGAGCGTGGTCCTTGACACCGAGAAGACCAGCAGCAATCGAGCTCATGAGGATGATACGGCCGTTGTCCTCAATGTACTTATAGGCCGTCTGGCCAACGAAGAACTGCGCTCGCGTGTTCAGGTTGAAAACATGGTCGTACTTCTCCTCGCTAATCTCCTCGGTCTTGTCCCAGCTCTCGGTGCCGGAGTTGCTCATGACAATGTTGATCTTGCCAAAGGCCTGCTTTCCTTCCTCGAATAGCCGGTGGATCTCGGATACTTTGCTCACATCGGCCTTGATGGCGACGGCTTTGGCGCCGTTATTGAAGCCTCGGATGATCTCGCATACTTCGTTGGCGGGGCCTTCTGATGATACGTAGTTTACGATGACTGAGGCGCCGCGCTTGCCGAGCTCGATGGCGCAGCCTCGTCCGATACCGCGACCGGCGCCGGTGATGAGGGCAACCTGGCCCTCGAGGGAGGCAGTGGGAACTGTGACGACCATTTTTATGGAGTTGTGTGTGGTGGAATTGATATATTGATATTCGAAGAGTTGCAGGTATGCTTGCTTTGATTTCTTGATTTGAAGAAATCCAAAGACTGATCGTAATGAATAAGTGAAAATGTGACTGGGTATCTTGATTGATTTTCATTCATGTTGTAGCATCTATATAAATGCATTTGATATCTCCGTTTTCGAATGTTGGTATTCACGGTGTTGGGGTCACCGGTGGGGATCCGAAGGGCCAAAGACCGAAAATAGTAGTCCGCCAAGGGGACTTGCGGCTCTACACTTTCGCGTCCGGGAAATACTATGTACGCTATGTGTTTTACCTACACAAGGCTAAACGAACCGGCAAGCCTAGTCTCCGCTCCCAGTGTCGTAGTCTAAGTGCCGGCTGTGGTGCGGAGCTCGGAAGGGGGGCCATTGCTGTCCCTCCGAATTCGAGCAATGTATTGAAGCCTTGAGGATGGAGATGCGACGAGAATCCCGGGTGTATCTCGGCAGCTTTTGTTGAAAGATAGACTCCTTGGATAAACTTCCATTTCCTAGAGTGTGAATGAGATAACGCACACTACTCATCGCGACGAGCGGTGATTGCCGGCGCAATGCAGGGAACACCAACGGATCTACCCATAGCGCAGGTACCACGATCACTTATAGATCAACTTTGTCTTCATCATCTTGCAGAAAGCCCAAGATGAGCAGATTGAAAACTGCTAGATAAGACAATTCGACACACGAAGACGCAATGCGCCGCAAACCGAGATGGAGGCGGTGACTATGAATGGCCGAGCATGAGGCGGTTCCGACCATCGGGACCTTGGATTGCGCACGTCACTTGCCCGTGTTTGCCCCACTACTTCTTTCAACTTCACGTCCACAACAAACTATCACTAAACACGCCATTTTTACGCCTCAGAAGTAAAGATGCATATTCTTGTAAGTTGTCTCATGCCTCACGGTAGCCAATGGCAGCAGCTGACCAAACAGTAGGTCACTAACGACGATGGCCCACCATCAGATCAATCCTCGCCTTATGTGCATTCGCTGGTGTCAACACTGCAAAAGTATGGCCACACCGTCTCGGTTGTTCTCCCACACACGCAGAGATCTTGGATAGGCAAGGCACACCTTGTTGGCAAGTCGGTATGGATATCTTTTATCTGTTTGAAGCAATGCTTGCAATGTATATTTGTCGTCACCGCCCAGTCTAACATAGCCGTAGATATCACCAACATACTATCGACCTGAACCCCTTCAAACTACCGCCGATGGCCGCCTTACGAACCACGGAACGACTCACAACTCGCCCCTGCCGCCTTCTTCGAATGAGGAAGAATGGGTGCTCGTCGACTCGACCCCTGCCTCATGCGTACAGATTGGCCTATACCACTACTTCACCGAGCGTGGACCAATCGATCTCGTCGTATCTGGACCAAACTACGGCCGCAATAGCACTGCGATATTCTCCCTCTCGTCGGGCACGATAGGCGGAGCGATGGAGGCAGCCGTATGTGGCATGAAGAGCATAGCACTCAGCTACGCCTTTTTCGACCGCAACCACGACGCCAACATCATCAGCGGCGCGAGCGAGCTCAGCGCAAAGCTCATACAATACCTGTGGGACAACTGGGACAAGAATACGCATCTGTACACGGTCAACGTCCCTCTGGTGGAGAACGTAGGAGAGCGCAAGGTCCTATGGACAAACATGTTGCAGAACACATGGAAGAGTGGCAGCTGTTTCCAGGTGGTGGAAGTGCCATCGGAAGCCGACGACAAACCAGCGGACATCGAAGGCCAAATCCGTAAGCAAGAGGAGAAACTGGGCAAGAAGGAACTCAGGTCCAACTCGGAGAATGCCGGTGGAGCAAGCGGTACGGATTCAGGACAAGATACGCCATCCGGGCAGCCACATTCGAGGTATACGCACAAGCACTTCAAGTGGGCACCTTCGTTCAAGGATGTGTACCAGAGTGTGGAGGAGAGCGAGCCAGGCAACGATGGATGGGCTGTTGCGCAGGGATTCACTAGTGTGACTCCGCTCCGGGCAAACTTTATGCACGTCAATGGGTTCGAGGGAGAGATTAAGCTTTAGTGGATAGTGGGAGGGCGGAAGGGAGGGAACGGGGCCTCAGCGGGGTAGTTTGGATGATGATCACAAAGCATCTCGGGATATAGTCCGATAAGACGAGATTTGGGTTTTGAGGGGAGTGCGAGTAAGATATCTGAACCAGCAAGATGTGCAGGACATATTTAGAATATATCTTGTAGTATTAATTCACACATTGAAGTGAAGTTTTATGGTTGGCTATCGCGAATCGAGATGGCCTCTCCACGTATACCTGGGGTATCAAAAAGAAAAAAGAAAAAAAACCTCCCTTCCCCAATCGTAGTATTTGTTTCCAGTATCCCGAACTCCATGATTAATACATCGCTGCGATTCCGAAAAGAGGAAGAAAAAAGAAAAAAGACGTATTATGCAGATTAGTTATTCGAAATTGAAAAAGGCATCGTCAAAGGAAGATTGCTCGGGGTTGGCGTAGTCGTCCATGTTGAACAGGTCCTCGAGATCGTCTGCAGCCATGGTGCCCATCATGTCGTCATTGTTGTTGTTATTGGTCGTCGCTTCTTCCACCTTGTTCTCTTGGGGCGGCGGTGGCTGTGCGGCAGGCTTGGACTCGTCTGCCTTTGGCGCAGGCTCTGGCTCTGGTGCAGGCTTGGCAGTTGCATTTGCATTGCTGTCAGCGTTTGCGTTCGTGTTTGTATTCGTATTTGAATCCAGTCCTGGCAAGTCCGGCATGGTAAAGTCCATGTCCATGGTGGATGTTTGATTGTTGTTGTTGTTGTCATTGTCGCTGTGCTTGGCAAAGTCTTCGAGACCGGGTAGGAGAGAGGATCCGTCGTTGCCGCTGTCGAGGCCAAAGTCAATGTCACCCGTGGTATCCATCATGTCGTGGTCGTGATTTTGGTCGGAGGTGTCCATGGCATCGCCGAACATGGCATCGAAATCAAAGTCGGACTCGTTGGGGTTGTTGGCTGGGGGTGTGCCATCGAAGAGCGGGTCTTTGGACGGCTGGGCATTTGTGTCTGTCGAGTTTTGGGGTGGTGAGGGTGCCTTCTTATTTTGGCTGTCATGGTCGCTATTGCCGCCTTCCTTCTTCGCGGCTGCCATGTCCGTCTCCATTGACGCCACTGGCGCAGACGTGTCTAGTGCTGCTGGCGGCTCGAGCTGTACGGGCGTAGCGACCTTTTCTTCCTTGACCGGCGCGTCGTTGGTGGGTGGGGGTTGATTCCTGGCCTCTGCAGCAAGCCTCGCCTTGTCCACCTCTTGCTGTTTCGCGGCGGCCTCCTTCTTCTTGCGGTCCTGCTTCAGCAATGCCATGTCGCGCCGAAGCACCATTTGCGCTAGGCGCACTTCGTTCTCGAGTTCGTCGAGGGCATCGTGGAAGCGCTCGGTGGCATGGGGCACGACGCGCTGCAGTTGCTGCTTCATGCGCCCGGAGCCGCCGCCGGTCTGGGTTTCTTTGAGGAAGCGGCCAGAGTGAAGGAACTGCGAGGGAATGTGAGCAGGGGTACGCGTCAAGGGCACATGGCTGGGCGGCGGCGTACAATGAGATTGAGCATGCTCTGCAGCGTGTCGATGTGCTGGTGCTGTTGCTGCTGTTGTCCCGGCGCCGGGGGTGGTGGGTTTGCCGCGGCCATGATGGCTGGATGGTCGTTGTCGAGGTAGTGGTAGTGGTGGTGGTGATGGTGGTGATGGTGATGATGTTGAGAATGGCGAGGAAGTCTGGGTGGGCCGGCTGGCTGGGGATGTGGTTGGCTATGGTGCGGTAGTACAGTAGTAGTATGTAGAATGTATGGCTCGGCGGCGGATAGGTGCTTGGTCGGCTGGTCGGTGCTGGCCGCAGCGCCCTGACACACGTGCGGGCCTTCTGCAGGTGCTTCCGCAGGTGGGGGCCACGGGTTCCGGTACTAGAGAATTAGGTGCAAATATACGTGCTAATACTAAAATACACGGCCTTGGGAACATTCCTACGCCCGGCGCATACCAGGCCAGCCACTAGCACCAGCCCACCCGTTATTTACGGCCTTTTCCTCCGCCCAGCCTTGCCTGACAGCAGCTGCCAGCACGGCATCCAAAATGCCCCCAAAATGCTCCAATGCCTGACCCGTTCCCGCAAATCTGCATTCTTGCACACGCGCACACACGCACACACTCATACCCCGGCACCACGGCCGGCAGGTGGTAGGCTACAGTAGCTCTCCCGTTGCATTGGGCGCTTGTGCCCTCGCGACCCTAATTCTCGCGACCCTCGCTCACCTCCCAACTCCTCTTCCCTTTCCTCACCCCACAAGTGGAGACCATAGCTTGCCATCCGCGCTCGGCGTAGGGCTTTCGCATCTCCTATCTCCTCTTCCTCTTGTTTCCTCTTCCCTTTCCTAGTGCTTTCCGCGTCTCTGTTCGGGCTGCCTGTGCTTGTACTTGCGCTTTCCCTTTTCGACTTTCCTTGTCGCCTACCACTAACCCACTAACCCAACCCACCACCCTCCTCTTCGCCCCGCCACGACTCGCCCACCCGCCGCGTGGCCTTGTCTGTTCCTGTCCTGCTCTCTGCAATCCTCCTCTCGCGTCGCATCAGAGCTCGCCCGCCGGTTCTTTGCTTGAACCACCCGCCACCACCACTGCCTTTTGCTCATCCGCACCCCTCCTGTCCGTTTCTGCCTTGAGCGCATTTTCGCGACCGCCATGGCCGACCAGCAGAACCCTGGGGCACAGCTTCCCCCTCCGCCCTCCGCCAGCGGTGCGCCCGGCTACGACAACCAGCCTCAGGCCCAGCAGCACATGCCGCCCCCGCCGCTCGCCCCCGTCATCATCCCGCAGAACAACAACCCCATTCCCACGGCCATTAGCTCCCCCATGTCGGGCAACCCCATGTCCCCGACCAGCGGCCAGCCTGGCTACGTGCCCCGTCGCGCCGCGCCCGAGCCCAACAAGCGCGCCTTGTATGTGGGAGGACTCGACCCGCGGGTCACTGAGGACGTGCTTCGTCAAATCTTCGAGACCACTGGACATGTCCAGAGCGTCAAGATCATTCCTGACAAGACTGCAAGTTCTCCTTCTGTAAGATACATCTCCGAAACCGCTGCAATTCTCTTGACAGCTTTGTGGCGCGGGCCGGGCTTATCTTGCAACTGCTGCAACAATTCAAGTGCCGCTGACCGCTAACAGTTCAATTCCAAGGGTTTCAATTACGGCTTCGTTGAGTACGACGACCCCGGTGCGGCCGAGCGTGGCATGGCCACCCTCAATGGCCGGCGCATTCACAACAATGTAAGCATGGTCATTGGGGAAGCGGGCAAAGAGAAATTGCCATGTCGGCCTGTGTTTCTGACCAAAGACAGGAAATTCGTGTAAACTGGGCCTACCAATCTAACAACACAGCCAAGGAAGACACTTCTAACCACTTCCACATCTTCGTTGGTGACCTTTCCAACGAGGTCAACGACGAGGTCCTTCTGCAGGCCTTTTCCACCTTTGGTCCCGTTTCCGAGGCTCGCGTCATGTGGGACATGAAGACGGGCAGGTCTCGTGGCTACGGATTCGTCGCTTTCCGGGATCGTGCCGATGCTGAGCGTGCCCTCAACTCCATGGACGGCGAGTGGCTCGGTTCTCGAGCAATTCGCTGCAACTGGGCCAATCAGAAGGGTCAACCTTCCATTTCCCAGCAGCAGGCCATGGCCTCAATGGGCATGACACCAACCACTCCGTTTGGCCACCACCATTTCCCCACTCACGGTGTCCAGAGCTACGACATGGTTGTGGCTCAAACTCCGCAGTGGCAGACGACTTGCTATGTCGGAAATCTGACTCCTTACACCTCGCAGGCTGACCTAGTGCCACTCTTCCAGAATTTTGGTTATGTTACCGAGACGCGCTTCCAATCGGATCGTGGATTTGCCTTCATCAAGATGGACACGCATGAGAACGCTGCCATGGCCATCTGCCAGCTCAACGGCTACAACGTCAATGGCCGCCCCCTAAAGTGCAGCGTAGGTTGACTCGCGTCTCCCTTTTCCTTAACTGTTTGCTCACATTTGTAAATCTAGTGGGGCAAAGACCGTCCTCCGACTGGCCAGTTTGAGGGTTACTCGCCTGCGGGCGGCCCTAACTCAGCTTACCCCCAGACGCCGAGTGCGTACTTTCCGCAGTATGGTGGTGGGCCACAAGGTGGGCCCATGTCACCCTCAGGTGAGCGGCACCGGAGGAAGCTGCAGTATCGAAACAAGCAATCTAATGCGCGGGCAGGACCCAGCCCCGGCGGAGCACCTTTCGCGCAGCAGCAGCAACAAGCCTTTGGTAACCCTGGCATGCCGTTCCAGCAGCAAATGCAGCAGCCGGGCAGCGCTGGTGGCTACGGCCGCGGCGCCCCCCAGCAGCCACAGTGGGGCCAGTCTCCCCAAGCTGCCTTTAGCCAGAACGGCTTTGGGGGATACCAGGGCTAAAGACCCTCCTTGCTCAAACATTTTTTGTTCAGCGCCGCGCCACCTATTCTTTCGACACGCCCAGTTGTTGTTTACGAGGGCGCTTTTGTTTGGATAGCTCCGATTTTCAGGTCACATTTCATCAGCTATCTGGTCTCATGTTCTTAGGCAAGTCGTCATTTTAGTCCCGTTGTCCAAAAAGGTGTGAGGGTTGTTGTCTGCCGGCATGGTCGGCTACCCTACGGTATATTTCTTGTGGGATATGATCTACGGTCGTTTGTGTGGTTCAAAATGAATCTCCTTTCTCATGTTAGCATTTCCTTTGATGCGAGCTTCGGCTTATTTCACATTTGCCTCTTCACTACCCACGATGATGTTTGAATCTTGTTATGGTTACCAAAAGCGAATTCCTCTTCTCTTTGCGGCGCACTCTTTAGTCATGACGGCTCCCTCTAACTGTTTTCGGTGGTCGGTGGGTTTTTGATGATTGTTGTTATATCATGTTCTTCTTCTTCGGTTTAGACTGCATTGTCTCTTCAAAACGGCATACGCGGGGCGCGCCGAGTATCAATGTGGGAGAATGATGTGCGAAGTCATTTTCAAAAGATCCCTGGCGGAATGGAGAACTTGGAAACGTGAGGGCTGCATTCCAGCTACTTGTATGAATACCAATATCAATCGACAGTGTCGAAAACGAACAGCTCTTTCCTGCGGTGAAAGCAACGCTGACTACCAATCATTCGATCCAGGTGTGCATCGTTTTACAAGACCCAGGCCAAAAAGTTGAGACTGAGACTATCATAAATCTTCCCTGCCACGACTCCGTCGTATGTTGGCCAAGCACCTCTTAGTGCAACTACTTACGTATGTCGCGAGTATTGGTAGGATGGGCACGTGATCACGATACTAGCGCACTTCTATCCGAAAGTCGCGTCAAATGGTCGCGTTTTGTGGGCCGGCTGCACTAAGGCTACAGGAACAATCCCACCCCACCGTGCCGTGAAAGGCATGCTCACCCTCGACACCAATACCAAACCATTCTTCTTTTCTTTTGTCTGCGCCATATTTACTTTGCTGCATGCTTTCTTCCCTTGTTAGGAGAGGTGCGTCGCTTAAACCGTCCAAGCCAAAAGATTCGCCGCTCTTCTTCCTTGTACAGCCCGCGCGGGCGCACTTGCCCCATACCCGCCCGTACCTGACGCACCCTCCTCGCGCGCGCCCTTCGACCTCACCACCATTCCAGGCAGACAGTCTTCCGAGTAGCCTGTCCAGCTTTGCCCCCCACATTCACAGCGGCAGTCTCTTCAATCGCCTACACACAAAAAGGACCATGTTCAAACAAGCCGTACAGGCACACGATGCCATCGCGTCGTCCTCGCCGTCAAATGATGCATGTAAACAAGCCTCACTCGGCAATGCCTTCAACCGAACCGGGCCAACACAAACATCATCCGCGCGCACCCTAGGATATGGAGCGAAGCAGAATAATATTGTGGGGCAACAACGAGTATCGGGTCCCACAACACAAGGTACTAAGAGGACTTCAAGTGGCCTGTCCAAGTCACTGAGTTCACATGGTGGCGAATTTGAGTACCCTTCACTCAGCATTGGAGGCATGGACAAAGAGAACGAACTTCCTGCCGCTTTCCACGCACCTAGCACTGGCTCTGGAATCCTTGAGACTGCCTTGTTTGACGAAGACGATTTCGACAGCGACGTGGATCTCGACGTAGAGGACCCCGCGACTAAAGGCACCGTCACATACCCTACATTACCCAGTGCACCCTCGACCATCTCAGGAGACTCCGGATACAATTCAAGGGCACAAACTGCAGACACCAAATCGGAGGTAGACAGTAGCCAGCCAATACCATGGTCATCTTCCCCAATAGAACATTTCAAAACACCCAAGAAATCCGAACCGTTGAGGGTAAAGCGAAGAACGCTACCGTGGGAACAGTCTCAAAAGGCTCAGCCCTTGCAAGAGGAGGACGAGGAGGAGGACGAAGTCGAACCTCCAAAGAAGAAGCAATCAGTCGAACCCGAAAAGACAGTATCGACACCAGCACCGAAGGATTCAAATTCAAAGTATTATTGGAACACAACTCCCAGTGGGTTGAAGCAACAGCAGAAAGCATTCAGAGAAAATATGAAAGCACAAGCAAAGCCGACTCAAGGGACTGATGGTGGCGTCAAGGAGGTTATCAAGACGAAGAAGAAGAATACCGTGGCCCGCATATTTCTCAGTGAGGAGCAGCAAAATGTGCTCAAGCTCGTAGTAGACTACAAAAAGAGTGTCTTCTTCACTGGTTCTGCTGGTATGTGCAAAATATACGTTCCTTGTATCGACTCATTCACTGACCGCACCAGGTACTGGTAAATCCGTCCTACTTCGTGAGATCATCACAGGCTTGCGGAAGAAATATGCCCGCGAGCCTGATCGAGTCGCTGTTACAGCATCAACGGGTCTGGCAGCATGCAACATTGGCGGTGTTACTCTCCACAGTTTTGCGGGGATTGGACTTGGTAAAGAGCCAGTTGAAGATCTCGTCAAGAAGATTCGACGGAACGCGAAAGCCAAGCAACGATGGATGCGTACCAAAGTTCTCATCATGGATGAAGTTTCCATGGTGGATGGCGATCTGTTTGACAAGCTCGAGTCGATTGCACGGACAATTCGCAACAACGGCAGGCCGTTCGGTGGCATTCAACTTGTCATTACAGGCGATTTCTTTCAATTGCCTCCAGTACCGGAGTTCGGCAAGCAAGCCAAGTTTGCATTTGACGCAGGCACATGGACTACAAGCATTGAGCACACGATTGGTTTGACTCATGTCTTCCGTCAAAAGGACCCAGTATTTGCGGGCATGCTCAATGAAATGCGAGAGGGTCGACTGACACCAGAGTCGATATCTCGTTTCAAGCAGCTAGAACGTCCACTACCAACAGAAGATCAAAGCGTTGAAGCAACTGAACTTTTTCCTACACGCCAGGAAGTTGATCGCGCCAACACTACACGCATGCATCAATTGCATGGAAATACGTTCACATTCGAGGCTCGAGATGGCGGCACTATTACCAACAAGGAACAAAGAGATAGGCTTCTCCAGAGCTGCATGGTTCCAGAGCAAATACATCTGAAGAAGGGCGCACAAGTTATGTTGGTTAAAAACATGGACGAAACGCTAGTCAACGGATCACTAGGCAAGATAACAGGATTCATGACAGAGCAAATGTTCAACGTCTATAAAGAAGATGAGGAAGGTTTTCTTGAAAATGGGCCTTCAGACGCTGCCTTGAAGACGGAGATGGCCAAAAGCTCACTTGGGCTCAACACCAACCAAGTGTACCCCGTTGTACGGTTTGCCATTGCAGATGGCACAACGCGCGATTTGTTATGCAAGCGCGAAGATTGGAAGATCGAATTGCCCAACGGCGAAGTCCAAGCATCACGATCGCAAATCCCACTCATCCTCGCGTGGGCTCTATCCATCCACAAAGCCCAAGGCCAAACCCTCGAGCGCGTCCGTGTTGATCTTGGCCGCGTCTTCGAAAAGGGCCAGGCCTATGTCGCGCTTTCTCGTGCAACAAGTATGGCCGGTCTACAGATCCTTCGCTTCGACCCGAGAAAGGTGATTGCTCACGAAAAGGTGCGGTCATTCTACAGCAGTCTTAGTAGCGCCGAGCATGTCGAGGGCAAGGCAAAGAGCAAGACTATACTTGGAAAGATGCAAGCGGCCAAGTCAAAGAGAGCTGGCAATGACGACTGAAACGGCAAAGTACACGCTTGTTTGCATTAGTGGTGTTGTTGGTTGGTTGGGTTTATCACGGCGGCGTTTTTATCAAGCAGGACGAGGAAGCTTGCTCAGGTTGTGTACAAGGTCGGAAGCGCTAGACGATATAGGTATGTAAATGTTTCTACGATGCACACACGCACAATACATCATTACGCATCTTCACTCTTACTGGTTTGTCCTCTCGTCTCATATCTAGCGATATACTATCCAACGGATCATGTCAGTGTACAAACATCTCCAAGTAAAACAAGGAATTGCAGTCTACGCAATATACCTTAATTCTAGGTTGCCTTGATTACATTTGCATCATTGTGATCAACATTCATGTTGGGACTCTTCAAGTACACATGTTGCAACTCACGTTACAAAACCAGGACAGCAACAAGACAGATACATTTTGTTTACAAGCGCAGAATGAAATTGATGAGACCCTAGAATACACGCCGTCAAATGGATTGCCAAATGCACGCCAGCCCGTGCCATTATTTACCCCCCTCTCGCTCCCTTGTCGTAGAAGCAGTCTTTGTCCGTTCTTCCAAAGAGATACATATAGCACACTTACAACATGCCGCACATGTCAGTTGTGCGCGCTATGCACACAGAACATATCGTCGCACTCGATGAATCAATGCCAATACTTGTCTCTTGCAGATAAATGTTGTCGTATCGCGTCTGCAATCGTAGGCTATGTGATCGTCTAGCACTCATCGGCACCACCAGCCTTGGAGTTCATGAGCAGGGCAACGATGAGTCCGTAAAGACCTAAGCGCGCATTAGTAACGGACTTCATACAGAATCTGATGGAACGTAACGTACCCAAGACTTCAGCGAAAATAAGAATCAGGATCATTCCGACGAACAACCTGGGCTGCTGGGCAGTTCCTCGTACACCAGCGTCACCGACAATACCGATGGCGAAACCAGCCGCCATACCCGACAGACCGACGGAAAGACCAGCGCCGAGTTGAATGAAGTTGGTGAACAGCGAAGAGTGCTGGCTCAAGCCGTTGGAGATAAGCACGGACACGACGAGACCGTAGATACCAATGATACCAGCCATGACGACGGGAATAATATCTAAAATACCTGTTAGCTGCATTCATGCAATATGAAAGTTCGCGATCAGGTTCGCATAGCGCGTAACGTACTCTTGACGATCAGGTCAGGGCGGAGGACACCCATGGCGGAAACACCAACACCGGCTTTGGCAGTTCCGTAGGCGGCGCCGAAGCAGGCGAAGACGATAGCTGACGTGCAGCCCATCGCGCCGAAGAAGGGCTATTGATCATTAGCCCAAGTCCTGCAATATCGCACGATAGTCGTCGCATCGTTTTACGACGATGGAAGCAACGTTGTCGCATCGCTTTGCGGCGATGGAAGCAGTGTCGTCGCGGTTCTGGTCGCGTCCGTCGGGAGGCGGAGCGGAGGTTGGTACTCGAGTACTTACAGCATAGGCAGGGCTATAGAAGCTTTGTTAGCTTAAGTTCTTCATATTCATCATAACAGAAGCTTCTCCGCTACGCTGATGATAATAGCAGGTCCAGCTTATGCCTAAGAGGCAAGCTAGAAGCTGCCTGCATCATAGACAAGGGAGCTCCGCAAGGACTCACCAGAGTTCGGTCGACATAGTTGCGGTGATTTATGTAATCGACGAGTCGTCTGGAATGGTTTGGAGATCTTTCTTGAGATGAACGCGTGCAGTGGATGTGGCGACGGGGGCGTATGTGATGTCGAGGAGTGGTGACGACGGTTGGCGAAGAGCTGTACATCTGGGACACCCGCTTGACGCTATGCTCATCCTGGCACTAGCGCCACACGTGAGACTCGCCAATGCATTCGCCCCATCGCAAAGGCTGCCTCGACTCTTTAACACCTCACCAAGAATCTCTTGCAGCACCCGCAAACATGTCGTGGCGCAACCAAGGAATTACCGGTTCTAACAACATCCCTCTAGGAACTCGCCGTCGGTTCGGCGGTGGCGACGATGATGGCGGTTACAATCCCTCAGCACCCGCAGAGGGCCTGTCCGAGCTGAAGCGCGGTCGCAGCCCAGAACGCAGTAAGTCAATTCCCACACGTACCTACGATGCCCTCTAACATGCTCATTCTAGGTTCCGATGCTCCGCGACAGCGCAAGAAGCGAAACCGATGGGGCGACGCGAGCGAGAACAAGGCTGCCGGCCTGATGGGGCTGCCTACAGCCATCTATTCCGCCATGACTACTGAGCAGCTTGACGCGTATACTTTGCATCTGCGAATCGAGGAAATCACCCAGAAGCTGAAGATCAATGATGTTGTTCCAGCCGATGGTGACAGGTACGTGTCCGATTGTTTTCTTCCCTCCATGCGCTCCTTGGCTGACTGGCTCAGATCTCCCTCGCCCCCACCGCAGTACGACAACTTCGGTCGCCGTGTCAACACCCGCGAGTTTCGCTACCGCAAGCGCCTTGAAGATGAGCGCCACAAGCTCGTCGAGAAGGCGATGAAGACACTTCCTAACTACCATCCACCTGCCGATTACAGGCGCCCTACTAAGACACAGGAGAAAGTCTATGTTCCGGTCAATGATTACCCGGAGATTAACTTCAGTACGAAACTAACCCCTCTAACTCCCCTTTTCTCATCTTGCTCTTCCCCAGCCTTTGTCTTGACCAGCCTGCTCAGACTGCTGGATGTTTATGCACATCTAGTGGCACCTGCAGTATAGCTATGTCACTAACCCTAACCCTTTTGCTCATACATTATTTTTTTGATCATAAACTAACCGCAGCTTTTTGCACTAACAGTTGGTCTACTCATTGGCCCTCGTGGAAACACGCTCAAAAAGATGGAGACAGAATCCCAGGCAAAGATTGCAATCCGTGGCAAGGGCTCCGTGAAGGAGGGTAAAGGACGCTCCGATGCAGCTCACACCAGCAACCAGGAAGAGGATCTGCACTGCTTGATCATGGCCGACACCGAGGAGAAGGTTAACAAGGCGAAGAAGCTCATCCACAATGTCATCGAGACTGTAAGTTTTCCTGAATCCTATACCCTACAATAATACTAATACATCCAGGCTGCTTCCATCCCTGAAGGCCAGAACGAACTCAAGCGCAACCAACTCCGCGAACTTGCCGCCCTCAACGGTACCCTTCGTGACGACGAGAACCAAGCCTGTCAAAACTGCGGAGAGATTGGTCATCGCAAGTACGACTGTCCACAGAAGCAGAACTTCACTGCCAGCATCATCTGCCGCGTCTGTGGTCAAGCTGGTCACATGGCTCGCGATTGTCCCGAGCGCAAGGTTGGACAGCCTTGGCGCAACGACAACCGCTTCGGGGACCGTGGTCAGCCTGCAAGAATTGGCGGTGCTCCCGAGAACGAGCTCGATGCTTTCATGGCCGAAATGGGTGGTGGTGGTGGACAACCTCGTGGCGCAATCGAGTACAACAACAACAATGGTGCCAGTGGTGGTGACAATTATGGAGGAGAACGCCCTCTCAAGCCTTGGGAGCGCGGTCCTACTGGCGGCTCTGCACCTTGGGCGCGCAACGACGATGATCGTGGCCGTGGCGATGGTCACTCTTCTGCCCCACCGCCTTGGGCTGGTGGAGGTGGTCGTGGTGGTCAGTCATATGATCAGGGCTATGGTGCCAGTGGCGGCGCAGCTCCCTGGGCCGCTGGTGCCTCAGCTGCCGGTGCTGGTGGTGCTGGCTATGGTTATGGTGGTTATGGCTATGACCAGAGTGCTGGAATGGGTGCTCCTGGTGCCTACGCCGGTGCTCCAGGCTACGGTGCTGCCCCACCTCCCTCTGGCCCTCCCCCTGGTCTTGGCCCTCTCTTCCAAAGCTACGGGTCTGCTGGAAGCCCTCCCCCGCCTCCGCCACCATCTGGCTCCGCGCCCCCTCCGCCTCCTCCGGGTGATGTCCCTCCTCCTCCTCCGCCTAGCGATGTCCCGCCCCCACCGCCACCTCCGGCTTAGACGAGTGAGCGTAGCAACAGCCGTAGCATAGGTTTTGGATCGGCATCTAGCCGGTTTTTGTATCTGTACTCACAGGTTTTAGTATTCTGATGGTCATTGCAATGTTGCTTCGTAGGCAGTCTGATGTGCGGTCTTTTTGGGGTTTAATATATATAATACAGTCTGTGGCTAACATATGACCTCATATAGTGACATAGGTAAGCTCAGTGGCGAAGCCGTGTGTGCCGGGACATTTCTACGTAGGTTATACAACGTAGTCTCATTTGTGCTCTGCCTGATCAGGAAGCGACCATGGGTCTATCTTAGTATAGCAGCAACTACGAGTTTTGTTTAATGTATGATGGAGCCAACGTGATTTCTACGCATGTGTATTAGGTTCGGTGTAATTAAGCTCATGTGCGTGTCATTAGGCTACAAGCGGAAAACAAGCGTGTTCGTGTGAGCATCTGTGCAGTAGTCTGATGACGTTGAAAGCCAAGAAGATACTAGTAGTGGGCAGTGGGACGGGCACATGGCGACAGGCTCATGTCGGCCATGCACTCTCAGCTGTCATTGCAGCCCTGGCGGTTTGACACTTCTGTTTGCGCCTGTGTTCCCTCCTCGATGCCTGCGTTACATGACCCCTCATTTTGGTAGCGATCGCACCCCCCGCAACTCACCTCACCAACACCATCTTGGTCAAACACCCGAGTCACGTCTCCCGCCGGCCGCCGCGCGCGCAGCATCGTGGCCATGGAGCGGATACGCATCAGCAAGGTATGTGCCTCAGTCTGTCTAGACTTGCACAACCTAATCAGTACTGCAGGTGGAAGGTGTATACCTTCTCCGCAGAGGTACACGCTTTGATGGCACGCTACATCTCATGCCCCATCACCTTGTCTTCAGCTACCTTCCTAGCCCTCCCGCAGATGCCCCTCCAAACTCGAAGCCTCCGCGGCAAAAAGAAGTCTGGATAACGTATCCAATGATAAACTACTGCGTCCTCAAGCCGTGTCCCCCAGTCCTTCGCCAGGAGTCCTCGATCCGCATCCGATGCCGTGACTTCACATTCTTTGCCTTCTTCTTCCCCGACGAAAAGAAGGCACGCGATGTATACGAGAGCATACGTGCCTTGTCGTGCAAGATCGGAAGGCTGGATAAGCTCTTGGCTTTCAGCTACCAGCCGAAGCCTCCAGAAGACAAACAGGACGGCTGGAGCATTTATGATGCACGCCGCGAGTGGAGGCGTCTGGGGATTAGCTCAAAAGATATGGAGAAGGGCTGGCGCATATCAGAAGTCAATATTGAATACAAGGTACTTGTCATGCGACAACCGTGGCTGGGAAATTTCTTGACGAATGGCACAGTATTCCGCGACATATCCCGCCCTGATCGTTGTTCCTACCGCTGTGTCTGATAGTGTTCTCCGATACGCTGGCGAGTACCGCTCACGGCAACGCATTCCTGCCCTCGTCTATCGTCACCCTATTAACAACTGCTCCATAACGCGTAGTTCACAACCCACACCTGGGCTCCGCGGAAACCGAAATGCCCAAGACGAGCGACTTGTGGCGGCTATCTGGGCAACCAATCGGGGATGGAAGCCGACAACTACCCCTTCTGGTTCGGTGGAATTCACTCCAGATACAAGTGTTGTAAACCTAAGTGAATCTAGTGCTAGTAGTTCCTTTGTTGGTGCAGGAGATGGGTCAGAAAACACAGGGAAACCCACTGTCGACGATTTGACCGCTTCGTCAGAATCCGATGCCGATCTACCCAGAGTATATGGAGCCCAACAGCGAAACCTGATTGTCGATGCCAGACCGACAGTGAATGCATACGCGATGCAGGCTGTTGGACTAGGCTCAGAGAAGATGGACCACTACCCTGGTGCGGAGAAGGCCTATCTTGGAATTGACAATATCCACGTTATGCGCAAGTCTTTGGATATGGTGGTGGAAGCTCTGAAGGAATCGGATCTAGTCCCGTTTCCCCCAAACAGGCAGCTGCTAGCCAAGAGTAACTGGATCAAGCACATAGCCAACATCTTGGATGGTACCGCATTAATTGCTCGTACAGTAGGAATCATGCATTCACACGTCCTGATTCACTGCTCAGACGGATGGGATCGTACAAGCCAGCTGAGTGCACTCAGTCAGATACTGCTAGATCCATACTACAGGACACTTGAAGGTTTCATCGTTCTCGTGGAAAAGGACTGGTTATCTTTTGGACACATGTTTCGGCATCGGTCGGGATTTTTGAGCCATGAGAAATGGTTCACCATCGAAAACGAGAAAATCGAACGAAAGTACGATGGTCCAGGGGCTGCTAATGCGTTTGAGAATGCCCTTCGGGGTGCGCGAGGTCTCTTCAACCGCCATAATGAGTCCAACGAATCGCTCAATCAACTCCCGGAAACTAACCTTCCGGACACTGTTCCAGACATCCCCGATGCCCCTCCGTTAAAAACTGTACCGACGGGCGCGGCAGAAGAGCATCGAGTCACCAAGGTCAACGAGCTATCGCCTGTCTTCCACCAATTCCTCGACTGCGTTTACCAACTACACTATCAGCACCCCACACGATTCGAGTTCAATGAGCGCTTCCTGAGACGCTTGCTGTATCATTTGTATTCATGCCAGTACGGCACCTTTCTTTTCGATAACGAGAAAGAGCGTGTCGAGACGAGGGCCAAAGAGCGAACAAGAAGCGTATGGGATTATTTCCTGTGTCGGAAACAAGAGTTCATGAATCCCAAGTATGATCCGGAAATAGACGACGCAGTTCGTGGTAAGGAAAGAATGATCTTTCCCCGAAAAGGTGAAGCAAGGTGGTGGGCTGAGTGTTTTGGCCGCACTGATGAGGAGATGAACGTCTTTGGTCCCCAGGCACCTCCCAGCCTAACGCCACAAACGAGCAATGCAAGTCACGACAGAAGCGGCACTAGCACACCAATTATCCATGAACCTATTGTCACTGGTACTGAGACGGTGGAATCAGCGACGGGTGCTGGCGCGGCGGTCCATCCTCCACGTACAAATGCTGTCGGTGACCGCTCTCCCAGGACTTCTAGCACACCTAAACCGCTTGATGCTGCCGCTGCACTCGGACAGGACCTGAGACAAGGAGTAATAGCGAGCTTCGAGAGGTTGGGCATCACTGGAAATTCAAATGCCAGTAAGGGAGCAAGTCCGTCTGAAGAAAGATCGAGCGAAGAGCTTGCACAAGAAGCAGTCAAGCCAAGTTCAAAGTTGAGTGTAGACCTGGGAGCAGTAGAGAAGGCGGAAGAAGTTACAAAGGAGTCTGACGTTGGACTTTCTGAGCAACCCACAGAGGAGAGTACAAAGAATGGTACAGGAGAAATAGCAGAGAACCTTGCAGAACAAAAGCCAGCTGAAGACCCAAGTCTTGGCCTAGGTCTGGGGGCCAACATTATCGAAAAGCAAGCCGAGAATCGGAGTCGGAGCCGCAAGCCAAGTCACAATCCAGAGGCTAAGGAGGTGGAGATTGAGATGCAATAACGTGAATGAAGGGTGGCTGGTCGATGAAGGAGCTTATCATGATGAATGCATAAATGATACCCAGTGGTTAGTTATTGCAAGGATCTTAGAATGTGAATTCATATCACACTGTAAATGTTAGACACAGCTCGAGCAAATATAGTGGGCGGTAAATAAGTGTTATACAGTGTGTTCAATCATGAGAAAAATTAGTCCGTAAACTTGTTGATTTTGGTAGAGTCCATGCTGACTTTCGCTCAGCATTTCATTCTCGGTCTATGTACAGATATACCCAGCAATATTTCATCCAGGCACTCCAGTGTCTTTCCCATTACATAGACCTTCCAGTTTTGTAGACTCCCACTCTCATCGCACATCCCAAAAAAGTATTTGGGAAGCTGGTTTGATAGTACTCGCCGCGCTTAGATCTGAAGGCGCTCGACCTTGTCCTTAAGGGTGCGGATCTGGCCCATCAAGTCCTGTATCTTGTTAGTACATGTGATTTCCTTGCAATTGTCAGTTTTGTCAACTTACAGAGGCTTCGTTTGTCGTGATGCTGGCGGCGATAACGGGCCTGGCAACGCCACAGGCACGGCCGAGAGCCATCTTGGAAGGGACGTAAACGTATGGCACGTTCTTGTCCTCGCACAGCAGAGGCAAGTGCAGAAGGATGGCAAGAGGGGAGGTGTCGGCGGCGAGGATGATCAGCTCACTGATACCACGGTTGAGGGTCCTAAAACGCTGATTGTTAGTCATTGCGCTTGATTCTTCGACAGTCGCATCGGGTATGCATACTTGGTAGCTTCGTTGGCACCCTTCTTCAGCTGCCTGTAGTGGGTAGCCTGCTGAACAAGGTCGAGAATCTCTTGCGACAAGGCCTGGTCAGCCTGGGGCCACGCGGCGCTGTTGTCCTCGGCCATTTCGAAGGTTGCGATAGATAGTAGAGGGTTGAGAGAAGGGTTCACTGCTGAAGCTCGTCCGAAGGGGGATTCCTACGCTCGATTAGCCTATGCGACTTGCGCAGTGAGTAGGCGACTTACACTGCTCGCTCGCCCTGGAGATATTTGTCGGTGAAGATGGTGGATAGTTCAAGATGTTGGAGCTTGTAGAAAATCAAAAAAGTTCCAGGCCGATCGCCTTGGCGGGTCTCACGTGCAGCGCTAGTGGTGCATGTGCTTGTCCGCTTTTGGTTGATGAGGCTGCGTCTGGAAGTCACGTGATCTTGGTTACTCTAATCCTATGTAGATGCGTTGTGTTATATTTCGACATTCATAGGGTTTGAAGCTAACAAGTCTGTTGAATATCAATCTGACCTGGAGGCATGCACTCGAGTCTTCTTAGCTCTCTGGTAACTTGGACCGATGTTATCAGAATGATCTATGCACTATTGCTTTTTATGATTGCCCACGTCGCAATGTGGAAATGTATAGAACCTGATGTTTTACTATTGTACTGTAATTTTTTCGGTCAACTTCAAAGAAATACATCGCACAGCGTATTTTTCACAGAAACACATGG